TAGATAGATAGATAGATAGATAGATAGATAGATAGATAGATAGATAGATAGATAGATAGATAGATAGATAGATAGATAGATAGATAGATAGATAAATACTTTATATATCCCAGATAGGGGAACATATAACATAGTATAAAAAACAACAATGCAGAATTAGATGCAAATAAATGAATAAAAAACTATACATAAAATAAATAATAATATAAAAACACTCAGTCCTTCAAGAGACATTAAACTGTCTAATGGCAGCCAGGACAAAAGATCTTCTTTACTTCTCTGTTCTGCTTCTCATAGGTATCAGTCTCAAACTATGGCTGTTTTCCTGAGCCACCAGTGCTGTGCAATGGATGGCTCCATTGGCCCTTATGGACTTCATCATTGCTCTAGTTCTTTTTTCCACCAGTTCCTCCATAGGAGTCCCTAAAAGTCCCTAAAAAGTATGTCCCTACACACATCAACGACTTAAGTACTTTTGTCCCTTTTTGTATGCCGCATTTGCCTGCACCGACCAGTCCAACTTATTGTCAAAACCTTATTGTCAAAGTGACGCCGGGCTACTTATATGTGGAGAAGAACTCATGGATCACTGCTCTGTACTCTGATTCATCCAAACCCTTCATGCAGGCCACTACAGCTGATTCACTAGAGTATTTCTGAATATGGCATGTTTTTTTTCAACAAAACAAAAACAAGGCTTTGTTAGGATATTGTATAAAACCTTAAACTCGACACTATTCCTGACATTTTGAATTGAAAAAGCTTCTTGGATGGGAAGCAAAACGTCTTTAAACTTGGGAACAAAGTCCATTGTTTTTAATTTTCTTTTTTTTGGAATGACTATTACCTCGATGACTGAGAAACTTCACCAGCGTATCCATTTCTTTACTTTTTTCTAACTGCAAGGGCAGCGCCTGTCTAGGGCAGCAAGGTCTTGGACACCTGGTCCCCCATTGTCTGTTTATTGTCTTTATTTCTGTGTGTTTTGTCTTTTCTTTGATGCATTGTACCAAAATGGAAATTTCACCCTACCGGAGTGCCACTCCAAACTGAGCGACAAAGAAATCTTTGAAATATCCAGGGCAGACAGTTATTTGTTGTAGCTTCTAATTGATAGAAGAAAAAAACCTTTAAAATAGTGGAAAGAAGGTACAAAGCCAAAAAATGTCACTTTGGTCCAAACATGTTTTATTAGTTTCCTCAGTTTAGAATGTTGGACACAGCCTCAGAGATAAAGATGGATAAAGGGTTTAAATAATCTTTGGGGGGCTCAAAGGGAAGGATTTCTGTTTTTTGTTTTTTTTCACCAGGGGGCAGAAAGGTACCCCTTAAGGTTAGAGCTGAATGTGGTTTTGTTGCAGTTCCTGTTATGTGCGGTTCTTTGCAGAACAGTCAAAATGTGATTATCTTGTTGCATTGTTTTAACTTTCTGCACACTTTGTTTGTTGGTACTAAGGTTGCTAACTCCTTTAAACCACCAGGCCAGGCATTGTCTTCCATCCCACCAGCATTTATTTTTCTATCTTTCTTTCATGTGAGAAATGTTTTTGTAAACGTTTGAGTTGAACCTGAATTTAATTAGATTCATTTTTTTGTTTCAAAATACAGACGGTTCATTTACTCACTAGAGTAAGAGCCCTGGTTTGGACACAAGAGGTGTCCTCTGGATGTGGAGGTGTCCCAGGGGCCTTCTGTCTTTTCTACAGCCTGTGTTTAAGGTGGGTCAGATCTGAAAATGCAACATTTTACAGTTTAAATGTCTCAATCTCCTCATAGCTGGATGGAGAATAAAAGGGAAGCTGTTGCCCTTGGGAGTTGATTTATACCCAGTGTAGAGAAAAGAAACACTAGCTACTGGGAAAAAAATAAATTAATTAAACTAGAATATGTGCCATCAGTGACCCTGACTTTTCACCATTTGTAGCAACAGAAAAGACTAAATACTTACATTTCTAGAACTATGTAATTCATTTTTAAAATAAACTAATATTCCATTATTTTTAATTGTGAAACCCAGGACAGCTTTCCAAAAACAGTGCCCTGGACTTTGTTTCCACGTTTGAAGATGACTTTATCCAAATCAATCCAATCCAATCCACTTTATTTATATAGCACGATTTCAATAAACACAAGGTTTCCAATGTGCTGCACAAAAAAGATGAAATAACCAAAATAAATAAAAGTAAATAAAATAAAATAAAAGCACTGCCCGCACAGGATAAAAATATGCATGTGTATACATAAAATGATAGAGTTGATCAAAAACAAAGCCTTGTTTTGGCCTATATTTGTCCTCGAATTCCACGCTATTTCTGACATTTTAAATTGAAAAAGCTTTCTGGATGTACAGCGAAACAACTTCAAACTTGGAAACAAAGTCCATTGGATATTTTTTACTTTTTTGGAATGAGTATAACCTGGATGAATGGGGATCTACACCAGCCCACAGCACAGCTTCACAGAAAGAGAAAGAAAACCTGTGTGGTGTTTTCTGTCCGCATAAACCATGGGTTAAAGGACTGCATACCTACACAAGTGTTGTGTGATCTTGTCTTGGGGGAGGGGCTCTGCAGCAGTGTGAGAGGCAAACCTTCATTCTTCACCCCAATGGTTATGTCACCATAAACATTGGTCCTCAGTGTCCAAAGTTATCATTATGGCTTATAGCCCAACAGCCTTCTCTGCATCTGCTTCACTGTGTGGCACAGCAGTTGATTTGCTGCTGAAAGGATGGCTGAGCAGAAGATAGTTATGCTGGATAGAAGACAGGAAACAGCCTTTCCTCCACTTCAGACCTCTAGAAATCAATATGCAGGAGAGGTCACTCTGCATCATCACCCTAATCAATCCACCGTTCCTGCACACATACTGTTCCAACCTCTCCTCTTGTGCAGCATGGTAAGGAGCATCCAGAGCAACAACACCATGCTCAAAAACAGCTTCTATCCTGTAGCTATAACACTGCTGAATTCAAGCCACACTTAACTCTGCTTTATCGATTTCTCTTTTTTCTTAAATATACAGCCTCTTGAACCGGGATCTGATTTTGTACCACAAACATGGAAATGTTAGATTGTATGACGATAAAAATCCTTGCATTCTTATTATTTTAAGTTCTATTAGTAATAAAATGCACATTTTGATGCTCTTATTACCTCTTGATGCAATGGTGGATCATTATATGCATAATGTGCATAAAACTACGTGTAGACTTGTTACTGCACACCTTTTCTTTAGACTTTCCAACTTGCAGAAAAAGGAACCCAGCTATGACCTTACAAATATATGAAGTAGGCTACAATTAGGACCTGATCTTCAAAGACTCAAAATAAGTGAATAAGTGAAATTTCAGATGCAATTTTCGTCTAAGTGAAAATAGTGGGTGGGTTGCGGATGGTCTACAAACATTGCTGTGCAAATGTTCAGAACTGTTTGGGTTCCAACCACTAAAATGAGCAGATTGTGAGTTCTTCAGTCAGTTGGAGAGTGGCTGTATAAGAAAGATGAGTTTCTAAGCCGTGTAGTTGGAAGCTAAAGTAATTATAAATATTTAAATAGTAACAGTTATATTATTTAATATTCCCAAACACTTCCACAAAAAGTTTGTTTTTATACATCCTGAGTTTTGCGTTAAATACTGTACCACGTGTTTTTTGTACTTTATAGATGAGGCCCCTGGTAAGAGGTGGATTCCATCATGCATTGCACTGCAGCTGGTTTAGTGCTTCTAGCAACATTCAACACTGAGAAGGTGTTAACCAACACACCGCGCTTTAACATCATATCCAGAGGTGTCTGTAAATATAGGCAAGATTTCAGGCATCAGTTATCCAGTGCTGATGCACTACATATTTTTTCAAATAAATTAATAACTATCAAGTGATATAAAAGGATTGTATAGTGACACATTTTACTGCTATATCAAAAAGCTTTATGAGGCTTGAGGTTCACCTCCAAGCAGAGCAACAACTTTACAGTGATTAGCAGCCAGAGCAACAATAGAGTTATTTAGATCAA